CTGTACGATCACAACTGCTCATTATAATTATTAAAGAGTGTGCTATATATTTATTGAGAAATATAATTCAACAAGATACAGAATATATGCGTTTTTAACTTTTTTTATCGTCCCTAATGTGTAACTAAATACGTTAAGTAACGAAGTGAATTTTTGTGTTTCAATAACCGGTAACACGAGCTACATTTGCTTTGATCAAAAAATTCGTTATTTTTAATTATGGGCTTATAAACTTTATTAGAGGCAGAGTGCTCAGAAGAACTAATGGTATTTTAATATGAAAAATGTTTGGAGCTACTGCATGTTTTTAAAATAATGACATCATTTTGTGACACTAGGAAATATAATGTTGTTTATGTAAAAACTTATCATATTACGTTCGGTGTAACATAACGAGAGGCTAACAGCGAACAGAGGCCTGATGCAGTTTTTGCATGATTTTCTCAAGCACTCCTAACTTTATATAATCCTGATTGTAATTTCCATAGTCTTTTATTGTGCCTGTTATCAGAACTATGTCTTGTTGATTCGCCTGGAAGTTTGGTTTCTTGTAAGTTCTAGTTTTAAATAAATAGTCTTATTAATGACATATTTTAAAAATACAGTAGAATCCCGATTATCTGACCTTCGGTTATCAGACATTTACGTTTTATCCAACGTATCGTGCAAACACTCATTACTAATGTCTTTGAAAAATTAACTCTTTAATTTACATTTTGTTAAATATTATTTTTGTTTGTGATATTTTTTCGTTTGATACCGCATTATATTTTCTTCGTAATTTAATAGTATCTTAAATTGAGTTATAAATTGAATTGATTATTTAAACTCGTTTTTTTAATTACAGTCTTTCGTATTATCCGATTTTTTCGAGTAACCGGCCGTTTCTCTGTGTGAGTTAGGTCGACTAATACTGCATAGCTCACAAAATGAACTCGTCTTATGAAACTTCCAGAAAAAATCTTGGGAAGATTTAAAGGCTATATTCCAAGAATTTTAGTAATATTTTTGTACTGATAGTACCTATATAGTACACGGTCCTAAACATTTCTGGAACTTAATATCAGTATCGTAATAAGGAACAAAACGAGTTAACTTAACTTTACTTACTTTACCAAGAACATGGAAAAGATTAACACAACTTAAGCACCGAATACAAAAATCAAGACGGGCATGTGATTGATACAGAACTGTTGAGAAAAAGTAATTTGAATTTATTCCATTTCACGAAAACTTCCATGCGAAGAGCTTGTATCTTTTTTTGACTTCAAGTTAATCGAAGAAAATTAAATGCTACAAATAATCACTTGAATTACATTAAAGTGTATTAAGTGTTGTGTTTAATGTGGGTACAGCATTAAGAATTGATGCAGTTTCTCTATTTTTAACGGGAGTCCACTTCCTCGGCCTTCCCCGCGCCCCCCCCCCCCCCCCTTCGAATCCAAAATCCCCCAATTTTCCAGCATCGCCACTTCTGCCCCGAAGATAGAGAAATAATGTTTCTCTACGATTGAACACGATACCAAAATTTAGAACTGCCCATGCTTACCGCCGTGAGAATCTCAAAACTCATGTTCATTGTTATGTGCCATGTTTTATTTCAGGTTTTAACAATGGAAGATCAAATGACAAATTTCCAATCTGTACTTCATTGATACGAGTCGTATTTCGTACGAAGTTCAGAGAAGCCTTTTCGTTCATCCTGTAGTTTCCTTATTGTGAAATTATTTTTCATGCCAGATGAACTTTCCATTTTAATAATCACTCCCCGCGGTTACGAAACAATGAGTGATTAACAATAACAGAGAAGTGGTGTGTTGTGATTGGAGCTCTTAATAAAGGCTCCCCTCTGATTGGCTAGTTCAAGACCTGGCAGGGAGCGAGGTTGTTTCCGGAAGCCCAGCCTACACTGCAATGGCTGCTGGCTCATTCACACTCACATACGAATAATAAGTGCTGCTATATTAGTACTAGTATATATGATGCACCGCTGCTACTGCTCGACATGAAAACATCCGCTGCGTTAGTTCTCACTGCAGCAGTACTATTATTCGGAAAGAAAATATCGACTGCGTGGTAAATCTGCTTAAAAGTCTGAATGTCAAACGAATGGAAGAAAATGCAGCTCGTTTAGCTGCATTTCAGAATTATATAATTGATAATGTGACATAAATGACGAGATAGGCTACCAGTGTTTATGACCTCTTTCAATTTACGTTTTAAATTGAATTCTGCTGAGTGTTTGAAAATGGGCTGTGCGTGCAGTTAAGTCGGAGATGCATTCAATTAATACAGAAGTCTGGCGAGAAATTCGCTTGGGAAACATTTGGAATGTCCAGAATTAGATAGGAAAATTACATTAAGATAAACATTTAACTTTGCTACTGGTAACGATCATAAATTTGATCCTACTTTATTGTAACTGGCTAGGCTATTTTCATCTGAAGCGTAATATTAATACGGATCTTAAAAGGTGTTGACTTGCTCAGAATAGTATAGAGTAAAGGGTTACTTCTGAATATGGTAATGGAACTTCGGGTTTCATTAAAGGGGAAATTTTTTGACCCGCTGAGTGGTTTAATACATCTCCTGTCTCTTGAAAGTTTGTAAGCTTGAGTTATTGCTGTTGCGCCATAGTTTAAACATTTAAGATGCGCGAAGTCTCTAAAATTCACACGCGTAGGCCTATTTATAGACGTAGTATATATAACCTTCAGTTAATAAGCCTATGGCCCACTTCAAATTACGTCATTAAACGTTTTAAAAGTAACCATGTTCAAAGGGCGTTTATATTGTGGGAAAATAAAAAAACAACTGGGACCATATCAGGTGAATACGTTGGTTGTTCCAGCACTGGCATATGGATATGCGGATTCTGTTACCAGGGAGTTAGTTAGTTAGTTAGTTGGTGTAGTAATTCCAAGTTTCGAGCGATAATTTTTGATAACTGAAACTTGTACTGTCATATGACTTTTGCTGAATTAGATAGATCTCAGATTCACTGACCGTCGCTTTCAATTGGTCAACACTGCTTTGTATTCAGGATATCTAGGATTAAACTGTCGGCCTTGGGGCTCTTTGAGTTTTTCTTCAGTTCCTCCAGACACATATCAGGGTATAATGAAGCTAACTTACACGTGCTTTACATTTCATTATTTATTATCGCCCCATCATTCGATGGTATACAATATGAGGTACTTTCAGCATCGTTAAATAAAACGACGTGATTAAGATGCTGAGATGAATGCATTTGTTTGTATTAATCTGTTGCGGTTCATTCGCTATAAAATCCATTTTTTACATTAGCAGTGGATGGAAACATCAGACACGCAATTCTAATCCGATTTCTGTATTAGGTGGTCCACGTTGCTTGAATCGCAGAAAATCCTTGTCACGATGGGACATAAGATTACAAATTTGCAGCTTATGTATGGAATTCAACCCTTGGGCTAACTTGGGGTTGAGAGGAGAAGTGACGCTCACAAAATATCTGCAGAATCCACTAAGGGCCAATCAGAGGCGTCGAAATTTGGCGCATGCGTTTATTAGAAGGAAAGAAAGAGAAAAGGTAGTGAGGGGAAAAATTGTGGATATTAAATAGAGCAGTATGGCTCAATAAAGTCAGGCAGAGACTGCAGGCAAAGCAGTTGAAACAAAGGAATACTCTACAGCGCAGGATCGAAGAGACCTATTATCACTGAATACGTGTTCTAACTTCACGCTGAAACCATTACTTAACAAAAACATAAATCTGTAACTGCTTTCTTGTGATGGATTATCAGTCTAAAAAATATTTGGTTTTGTATTTAATGCTCAATTATGTCGGTTGTCTCAGACTATGACAGTAAATTGGGACAACTAAGCAATTCTTGAATTATGATTTTGATTTAGAAAGATTAAATTTTTGTTGAATATTACTTAAAATTGTCTATGTTTTATTTTTGTAAGATACATAAATCTTTATCCAAAACCGTCCTCTACAGCTTTGTACACTTGTGTATCGAAATCCATGGAGTAGAGCCCCTCGTAAGAAGTTAACAGAATCCGTTTGTAACGGAAAGGTTCATTATGTTCAGAAGAGCCTACTCTGTCGCATCAGTTCATATATGTTAATTCGATCCTCTCATACACACCTTGGTCTCCCAAGTGCTATATTTCCTTAAAGTTTCCGAATAAAATTTTATTAATTTCTCATTTCCCTTGATCTGCTACCTATCTTTCTTGTTTTCATCTTCCATACAACATCTGACGAAGTGAAATGTATGAAGTTCCTCATCACTTAATTTTTTCCATTCTCCTTTCACTTCCTGTCTCTTAGGTAAAAGTATTCTTCGCGGCACCTTGTTCGTTAGTTTTTAGTTAGTTATAAACAACGTTGGTATTACCTATCGAACAGATAGGAGAGACTACAAATTCGAGATGTGTAGCAGAATATTACATCTTGCCATGTCGACAGGGAATCGTTTTTTCTGCATCCAAATTCATTGAATTGGCCTGTCTATAAGACGTAAGAAACGATCCAGAACCAGTTCCGCCCACTGTCTTACCTAAGAACCATCTCAATATCATTATCTCAGTTACCTCTCTTTGTGTCAAGTTCACTTTTTCCAAAAGGTTTCCCTATTACAATTTTCCCTGCATTTCTTTTCTCCCCAATACTAGCCACATGGACAACCAGTCGCATCCTCTTTTACTTCGCCGTCCTACAACTGTAACAATTGGTATAAATCTATGATTATCTCAACACATTTGTGAACAATGGCCATAAAATCAAGGAATCCTATCATTAATCTAAAAAATATATTTTATATAAACTGCTCCCTGAAATAATAGAAGTATTAACATCAGCGAGAATATTATCAAGAATGCTATTCACACACATTTACAGTATTTAATTATCTTACTGTCATCTAAGAATAAAGTGCATGCCACAGTTAAATGTCAGTAAAATCGTCATGAATGTTGGTGTCAAATACGAAAAGCTGCTTCGCCTCACTGACCTGTATTCGGTCTTCAGGTAGGTCCGTCTTAAGGGATAGCATTTCCCGAGCATATACGTCGGGGTAGTGCGCTTCTTTGAACGCTTTCTCTAGCTCCTCTAGTTGATAGCTAGTAAAGATCGTCCTGCAAAGAAAACACCATTTGTGAGGCTGAGGTGAAGAGTTCTCGCGCAGTAATCACCCTTCTATTTTGCTCCGTCTACAGATTGAGACGTACGTTTATTTGTTATTAGACTACGTGATACAGTTCGCTTGGAGAAACTGATAGTAGCTCAGTTCGTCAAGAAATTGCACGTTGTTTATAGAAACCGAAGTTGGCATGTTTGTCGCTGGATTCTTACCCTCAGCCAGCTGAATTCAATCCATAATCTCACATTTTATTTCCCTAAGATCCATCTCGGTATTATCCTGCGACTTGCGTGTTCGTCTCCCAAATGGTCTATTCCATTCAGGATTTCCTATCAAATACTGAATTCATGTATCATATTTCCCACGCTTTCTACATGCCTCGCCCACCCCATTCTTGTTGTTGTTGTAAATATCTACAATGTAGTAGTCTGTTATCTGTTTCAAGTTTGACTTTTTTCCCTGAATTTATACTTAATAATTTTACAGCAGATTTTAATAACAAATGTATCCTACCTGTGTCGTCTCTTTTTCTTTTTCTTCTTATTAAAGCCGAGCCCATCCGCGGAGAAATCCTTTCCGGCATCTAGGTGAGCCAGGCCTGGAACACAAGAATTCGAAATCATTCGGTTGTAAACAGCAAGTAAGAATTGGCTTTAGAAAGCAGGCTGGCTTATATTTTGTGTGCTAATATTATTAGCACACAAAATATAAATTATAATTTATAAGAGAAGTGTTCCATGTTATAAGTGGCAAGTTACAAATAGAGAAAATGGCTTCCAGATACAGAGAAGCTGGTAATAAGTTGAAAAAAGCAGTCGCGGACGGCCGACAAGGGATGATAAAAGCTTAAGAGCTTCGAAGGTGTACCAACCCGTACCGCAGAAACAAGGGAGCACATTACAAGTTATTACAAAGGGCCTTAGAATCGGACAGATAATTTTTTCTTACACAATGCCTGGTTTATGCAAACACAGTAATTAATCTTTCGGACACCCAAATTGCCGGGCATATTTTGATAAGCTGAGCGATTGTCAGATTATCAAGGACAACTCTGATCTATGCAGTCAGATTAAAATAACATGTCATTAGGTGTTGTTACCACCAGCGTATTTGCCACTGTTTGAGTTTCAGTTATGATGGTAAATGGAACTGAAAGCCAATCTTTTTAGACCAGAGATTCTTCTCCACCATATTGCAGGCTGTCAGTAAGCATAACCTATTTCAGTCTTTGTTATTTCCACAATATGCACTGTGTAATATTTAATTCGCCCTCCGAGTCCACGCCTGGCTTCGTCGATGTCTGCCATTTCTGAAAATTAATAGGGAAGGGGATTTTTTTGTAGGGGCGGATTGGAGGAACACGTGATTACCTATTACGGCGTGTAATGTTCATGTTCTGTAACGAAATTATCTACCCTTTTCTGTTTCCCCCCGTCGACGACCATGTTCCATAATCTGATCTCTCGGCTTACTGTGACAGTAACGGGAGGAGCCAATTTCTGAAGGAAAGTGGACATTTTATTGGGCGTGAAACAAAAGATGTGAAACATTAGAACTTACTTTGAGATAAAGTTGGCTCTAATAGAACATAGCATTAGATTCAAAAATTGCATTTTGCTGATCTATTCCCAATCACTCTCCCCGTCAATGTGTTGGATAGTGCTAGCATATCCTTAAGGCCCTGGCTCAGAAAAGATAGAGCGGTAATAAATTAAGTGTAAGGCGTTCTTGTGTGTTTTGAGAGCGTTTAAAATGTTAAGTAACTTCAAATAATGATGATAAAATCTGGACACAACAATTCTGAAAATTATTTTATATTATTCGGTGCACATTATAGGATAGAATCAGCCATTATTACATAAGCTGGAGCAGTAATTTGGGATACGGTTTTAAAATAGTTCTGCTCCATCTGTGTCACTACCCAGAGTTATTTTCTTGGCTTCATAGACTTATTACAAGAACTGTACTTCGAGGACATTCTGTTTCCATGTAGCTACACCACACACACACGCGCGGTCGTTTAATATTGAGTGAGTTACAAAATTGAAGTCTAGATCCCAAAAGAGAATTGGATGCTGAGTTTTCTTGTCTAGGTTTGGCTTGTAAAGGGGAATGGAGTGCGTACAGGGTGTAATGTAGTGATCTTATTGCTATTCTCCGTCCCTTTATTAGGGCCTGAACCTTCTCTCGTCCTGTCCTCTCAACTATGAAACTTTCAGGAAGAGAATGCAAACTGCCCGCCTCTCCGTCCGACTGTGACAATGTGTAGGTTACCAAGACCAATGTTTTATTAGTTTCTGCAGCACAGTCAAAAGTAAGCTGTTCTTTAGTGACTTTAATACTCTTATTTATTCATGTCTTCTTCAAGAGTTGTTATCAACTATCAGTATTACGTTAAAACCTAACGCTGGTTGATGATACTGACACGGCTGTTGAATCTTCTAAGCATAATATATGACGTTTCTGTATGAATATTTTAATTTTCTGCCGAGTGTAACTTATTCTATTCATCTAAACGAATATTTGTGCCTGATTTGTCATTAAAATTCCGATACACGATCACAGATGAACTTCACGAAACAACGTTTATAAAGCTTATATAATGAATGAAATCTCTCTTTAAAACAAGTTTAATAATTTTAAAAATGTCTGAAATGTGTTTACTTGTACTGTGTAACGTTTGTGATAGCTTTAAATATCTCTGAAGCCACTTTTGCACACAGGACATCGACAGACTTATTTCCTCCTGGAGTTTCGCACTTTAGTGCTCTGTAAATTCAAAATAAGGGCAGCATTTTAAACAGTTCGCCGCTATCCAAATAAGACAGTAATGAAAGCGAGACAAAGTCTGGTAGACACAAATCGTCTCTTTACTCTTTCAATTTTCACAAGAGTCGTAAAGTGTTGTGCAATACTGAAACCGAACAGAAGACAAGGGTATCAAAATAAAGTAGTCGAGGAAAAACTTATGTTGTGCAGTTTCGTTTCTTGGATGGCTTTTTCAAAACATTTGAGACAACAAAACGGAAATTGTCAGTGGAGAATTGATGACTGGGATTCACACAAGAATCACGTACTCTCATTCTGTGTTACTCCATACAACGAACTAACGGTCAGTGCAGCCGTAATGAATGTAATGATTTATCTTTTCTTTCCATACAAAAAATTCCAAAAAGTTTCTAAAACACAGTGGAAACTGTACATATTTCCTGTTTAACATTCAAGAAATCTGCGTTTTTACCATGGAGTGCATTTGTAATTTTCGCGAAAGAATCTCAGACTAAGCAGCGGTCATCTCCTTAGACAGAATGAGCAAATCGATCTTTGTTGTTGAGTCAGTTGTGTTCTCTTTGACGTAGGAACTGAATTTTTAAATAAGCCTGTTACTGGGATGAACTTCGTGCTTCAAAGGGTTTATGTTGTATTTAATTGTGATCTAGTTTATTATTTACAATTGCATCACAAAAGTTTAAAGGTAATATAATAATGATTCAATTCAATTTAGTTATCTGTCATTAGTGTGCTACATCAGAAGCCAATTACAGATACAGCACAAGAGAACACAATAATAAATGTAACAAAGTAACTACAAACAGATTTAAAAAAATACACGAGTGCAGAGAAAGTTGATACACAAAGGCAACTCGCTACTGAATATATTTGTAATAATATTTTAATTAAATTATAGTAATAATACTTTATTTTACGTGTTGACTGAACAACTACTGGAGCTTATTACACAGTCAATAACAACAACAATAATAATAATTCATTGTTTATTATTATTGTACTGCATAAACAGCGAAAAGGCCAGTTACAGATACTAATAATAACAAACTAAAGTGGAATAGCTTATAGAAAATGCAATACACATTCAATTATTGTTACTAGATCTCCATCCAGTCACGTCTGCCGGCAGAAACGCATGTAGGTTTGCATTTGAAATACCCGTTATTGTTCGATTTTAATCAAAATTGGAATGTGTAGATGACTTTTAGTAAAACTTTTTCATATTTACGGTTTGGGCCTTCAGTTCCGTTCTGTCTGCTCTGTCCACGTACAACCTTAATTCTTCCACCTAACTTTGGGTTTTCTCACATCTCCTTTGCTTCCAGATATATACAGTAACATATATTTGTCAATTTAGTAAAATTCCCGAACACGAAATAATCGTGAAAAGCCATCCAGTCTTCTCGTATTTTTCATGAAGAAGGATGGACGGGTAGAGGGAGACAGATAAACATGGTGAAGGTAATAGGCGAATTTTTGTAACTTTTAGTTACGAACGTGCGAAAAGAAACAACATAGCAATGAAATAGAAGTATGATAATATGTCTCGATGCAGACCACTGGACAACAGTCCTGTTCTTTGCAGCTTCTGATTACTTTCTTTGTCTTTCATTGTGTTCATTTTTCCAGCACGATCCATCACAGTGGAACGTACATGTTCGCTTGACAATCTTCGTGTTGAACACACAGAGAACAGGTTTGACTGAGACGTAGACTGGGGATGGCGAGTCCAATCTAATTAAAGAGCAGTAACTTGCGGGGGGTGGAGGGGTTAGCATCAGAAGGGATGAGGACAAACGCAGACAGGACGTTCATATGTGTGTATCTGAGAGAAAGAGGGACTTAGCTCTCCGAAAACAAAAACGAAAACGAAACGTCTGCTCTGTAGTTTTGCCTCAGTACAGAGGTTGCAGTAGTAGGCTGTCGGTTGACGTTTCTTAAGAACTGGTTATTGATTGTTTATTTCCAGATTTTAAAATTATTTTTCGTCTCAAATATTTATTTAAATATAAAGCTGCAGCAGAGTGTCCTAGTTACAGTCCAAAAATTACTTTGAATTAGGAGATGGAAATATTCAATATTCTTTGGGAAAATTCAGATAAAAAGAGCCGTAGAAATAAAAAAAAGTAATTTTGAAAATGTATTTAAACTGAGTGTTACAACAGTATTATATTTTAAAGGCAGAATATTTTTTTCCTTTTTTTTCAAAGCGTTAGCCGGGCTAAAACGGTTAACACAGTTAATATGAATTATCACGTCTTTTAAAAGCTTAACTTTCACTTGTTAAACATTTGTGAAAAACCGTCTACAGAAAACATGTTTGTCTTGCACGTAGACCACGCAATACACTAGTTGTGGGGTAGTGAATAATCAGAGAGAGAGAGAGAGTCAGTCTCCACTCCAGAGAGGCGAGAATATGCGTAGACCTGCCCTGTCTTAATTCCTCTGTAAAAGTTGGAGTAGCTACTTCAATAACTTAAAAATATAACAATTCGTCGATTCTTATAAAAAACACCGTACATGGAACAATTTGTGATTGACGCAGAATCTAGTGTTTGCGCCTTATTTTAAGTGTTTATGGCCCGCCCGTTACTAAAGGGTAGCCATATATTAAAATAAACTGTACCGAAATAATAAAATTGTTAGGTGAGAATTCAGGTTCTGGGATGTTGCGCCGCGCGGCCTGACAGACGTTTCGAAGGTTTCCCTGCCGTTGATTGTGTGGAATCGGGGGCGAAATGAGAAAAGGTAGAATGGGCGTAAAATATGACATAATGTAGAGAATAACTAATTTTATGGAACGAAATC